GACCTCCCCAAGAGCAGTGTAAATACCAGGCCTCCTTATAATAATTATCGGATTAAGAATTAAATCTGATTCCCTCAGGGAGAGGAGGAAGGGGAGGGAGGGAGGGAGGAGAGAGCTGGGGAGCCTTCCTTGTAGATAATTAATGAATTCCCTGCCATACCTCTTGGAAGGCAGAGGCCCATTTAACAAAGACCCACCTACATGGGGCCGCTCAGAGCAGAGGGGAAGCCATACAAAGCAACCAAGAATCCTGGAAGGGGCTTGTCAGGAGGTTCAGAAGGCCAAGGACAGGAACAGAAAAGACTCAAAAGAAAAAGCACTACTGGTCAATAAACTAGGAAAACAACATTCATTAACTAACAAGCAAAGGGATGCAAATAACAAAGAAATACCATTTTCTCTGCCTATTCAAATGAGGAAGATTTAATGATGGCACCCAACGTTTTTAAGGGTGTGAGGAAACAGGTGAGCACTCCTAAAAATCATGGGGAGAGTGTAAGTTATTATAGTCTTTCGGTGGGGGGCATTTCTATCAAAAACTACAAACTGTTTCTATTCTTTGACTTCCTCATTTCCTTTCTAAGTAAGACTTTATCCTAAGGAAACAATCAGAGATGTAGACAAAGATAGATATTCAAGGATCTAAATGCCTGCATCATTTTTTAACAAAAGCTAGATAATCTAAATGCCTAAATGATTAAAAACAAGTATGATCTAACATGAGATAGAACTTTTAAAATTGATTTTTAAAAGATATATAGAAGAGGTTTGTTTGCTTCCACAAGTGTAGAAAGAAACACAGGTCGCTCTGCCCAGCTATTTCTTGTGTTTCAGGTAGTAATGACCCACTGTACAGTCCCCTTAAGGGACAGTAGCATTTAACATCTTTCCTGAACCTCACGACTGCTTGTTTTTATTCCCATGTTGCTGATGAGAAAACTGAGGCTTACCAAGACGAAGCAACTCTTCCCTACCAATATTAACTACCACCTAGTGCAAACCATCAACATGCTAGTCTAGCCTCTTCTGCATATTATTACTTACTGAACAAAATTTTAGAAACATTTAAAAATGTGCAAACTCGCTGTTAAGGAAACAGCACTGAGCAGAACAGCCATTTCCTATTAAATACATGCTGAATATATTATTGTTTCCACCAACAACATCAGGCCCATTGTGCAGATGTGCAAACCGAGACTCAGGAAGGTAACAGCTGAGGCAGGGAAACAGATATCTTCTTCCTTTTTCCTTGCTTGTCATCAGGTTTCCTCTCCCCCTCCAGGGACCGCCTCACCCAACAGGGCAGAACTAACTCCTGCCTCCTCAGGGCTCGTTGAGGGGCCCTGCAACCTCCCACCCGCCACTTCCAGCACCTCCCTCCCGAGTCTCGAGTCTCGCACTGTCTGGAATCCCACCATTAGTAACTTTCCGGGGCGGGAACTCCGGGTAACACAATGCCTGGGAGGGGCAATCCAACTCTAACTCTGCACACGGCAGCCCTGCATCTCTGCACCTGGGTTGCCAGCATTTATGCGATAAGCGCTGCACCGGAAGAATGGGAAGAAGTGGGGGGCGGTGTCTACAATCACTGCAGAGTAATTATAGGTGAGGAGGACAGGTAGAGAGGCAGAGAGAACATAATCTCAGCACATGTGGAGGGCTGGAGTCACCCAGAAACAGTGTCAGGGAGAGAAGGGATGAAGACAGCACAATACTGCCAGCTGACCCTCTTAGCTACTCAGGAACATTAATAAATAAACGAGTGACTTGGAAATTATCTCCTGAGAAGGCAGAACCACCACAGACTGGATCGCGCTTACCCACATTAATATAGCCTTGTAAACGAAGCGGCCACATTTCTAGACTGCAAAACAAGAAAGCTTTTGCCGGCATACCTTTCACCTGGAACGCCTCTGAGCAGCTCGCATTTCTGTTACCAGGAGAAATGATTACCTGTCCGTGGTGCTTATTTCCAAGACCTCCAAAGAAGAAATGAGGGTCTAGGGCCCCAGGGATTTTGGAGACCAGCTGGGAACCTCCCCCCAGCTACTTAGGGGAATTAAGTACAAAGGCTCAAACCTGTCCTGTGGCCCCGAGGACCCCCAGTGCACAAGCGTGCCCACCAGGCCCTGGCTGGCCTGACCCCAGCCTCATAACCAGACATCAGCCCTCTCCCGGAACCAGCCAGCCTCAGTGCCGCCACCCCGGGGGCAGATTTCTTTCCCAGGGAGCCCAGGGAGGTTCCCAATCTCCAAGTGAGAGAATTCCGGTGCAGAAAATAACCTCCACCACACAGCAGTTTATAGAGCACGGCAGATAGCATGCAACAAAGCCGCTTCCACAGCCGTAAAGCAGACAGGTTCATCCGAAGCCGGAACCCAAGTGGCCACCCCCTGCTTCCCTGTGCTGGCTATCTATGGGGGGGGGGGGAGAGCCACAGGGACCAGGGCTCACACTTGTCACCTAGAAGCCCCCACCCCATTCCCATCCCCACACTGAGACCGACATCTCTGCACTTACCCACACCCTCCCCAGCAGGGAGCACGGCAGCCCACTGGGCAGCCCAGTCAGGGTTCCCGGGAGCCAGGATTCAGGACCCTCCTTGCTGCTAAACCACGTCAAAGGTAGCCTTTCGGTCCTCCCAGCCTTCAACAGCACAACCACACCAAGTCAGAGTAGGGGGAGGCACCTTACCATTCACCCAGGTTTGACTGCGAGCTTTGGGAGAGCTGGGTCACCATAGTTGGTTTGACTGACTCAACTCCAAACAGGACGACTCCAGGGGGTTCCCCGGAGAAATATCTCCCCATCCATCCCAGTAGCAGCCAATGAATCTATTGCTAACCAAAGAAGCAAAACCGGAGACCCCAGTCCCGCCAAAGCCCATTTCAGCGCCATGGCTGGAAAGGGAGATTTCAAACTCAGTCTCTCTGCCTATCTTTAGGAAATCTGGGCCCCCTTCCTGTGCCAGAGAAGCCACCAAGCCAGATTTTGTTTATAGAAAATTAATAAGACAATTCCACACCACTGCCAGTGCCGTTCGGCTCCAACCGCTACCGTTTACCACCGTTTCTAGAAATGGGCTTATACAGATTCATTCCCAAACCCCCACTCCGTGCCCCTTCAGCATATGGCAAGGCTGACCTGAGGCAAAGCTGGGCAGGACCTGCTCGAGGTCATCTTGGCCATACCCCAACCTCCAGCCAGGGTGGCCAGCCAAGCGTTCGCCGGCTTCTCAGTGCAGGCTCTCCACTGGAAGGAGGTAAACATGGCATGCACGCTGTCTGCTCCCGGGAGGGCAGACACACTCGGAGGCCGGACTGCCTGCTGTTTCTCCTGCTCCCCGACAATCAACACATGCACACAAAACGGGGTACGTACACAAGCCCCCGCATGCGGGTGCAGAGGGTCCTGACCCCTGCCAAGGAAAGCGCAGAGAAGGGCATGTTCCTGGGGGAGAAAGCCGGAGGAGGCGGGGCAGGCGGAGGCAGGAAGGCAGCAAACCGGGTGGCCTGCCGCCCAGACAATAACAAAGATGGGAAGCGAGATTTTCAAAGACGCAGTGGCTGCCCCCAGCGCCGAGCTCTGGCCTGGCTGCATCTGCCTGCCACGGCAAAGCTCGGCACGCCTCGTCCCCTGGGGCACCACCGCTATCAGAGAAAGGCTAAGGGTCCTGCCTTGGGCTGGGACTGGCGGCTGGGGCAGGAAACCAGCTGCAGGCAGCAACAGGGAGGTGCTGGAGAGCGGAGCTCTGGGCTGGTAGAAATTAAAGGTCTAATAATTCTACTGGGGCTACTCTCCAGAAAGATGCTTGGGGTCAGTTAAAGTCACACAACCCTGGGTAGGAGTTGGCTTATAACTTGTACTCCTTTCCCTGTTGGAACCAACGGAGAGGGGAGACACATTTTTATTCTCCCTGTGCCTCGCCAACTCGCCAACTCACCAACTCACCGATCACACACCGGGCACAGCCCTATGAAGGAAGATGCCAGGGGCCTGAGAGGTTGGGGCTGAATGCTGAAAAGGCTCCTCAGTGCCTGCCTGTTCTTTCCCCTCCACAGCTCTGCAGGGACACGTTCTAACTGGCACCGGAATCCATCACTGTACCTGTGCCCAAGTGGAAAGGTGCGGTGGCTGGCATGGCTCAAGAAGTGGGACCTGGGGCCCCAAGAGACTGTGTCCTGTCCGTCCAGTGCCCCCACACACAGCCAGGAGGGCTTGCCCTTGCGAGCTGAAGCCTGCTCGGTTGCCGGTGACTCTGGGCAGGCTGAACCACCTCCCTCCCCTCCTCTTCTGCCCCAAAAGCTACCTCCCCCTGGAATTTCCACACCCTACTCCTGGCTTGCCCAGGAAAAGGAAACAGGGAACAGAAGACACCCGTGGGAGTAGAGAGGTAAGGAAGGGAAGCAGCTGCCCAGACTGGAGAGGATAAGGCCCTTCTTCCCCGGCCTCTGGCGATGCCCCTGTGTTCAGGGCACTGCCTGCTCTACCCGCCCCAGCCCCCAGCATAGCGCAAGCCCTACTTAGAGCAGATGTGCCCCTTAAGCGGCCCAGCCCCCTGCTCCTCCCCTCCAGATGTTCACCCTTTTCCTCACCACTGGGTTTCAGCAAAAACCAGCAGAAAATGCCTTTTGTATCGGACACCCAGGGGTTCCAAAAGCAGGGGGGGCGAGTCCTGTGGGTGGAGGAGCCACTTCTGTCCCCATCCCTGGGCATTCCACCGCCCGGGAAACAATGCCCACCTCGGCAAAGCGAGCCAGGACTTCTCGGCGAGGGCACTTTCTGCCCGGCCTCACCCCGGGGAGCAAAGCGAAGGGACCGCCCGTCGTGCCCCCCAGTCCGAGGCGGCCCCACAAGTTGCCGGACGGCGGCGTGGCATGCCCTCCCCGCTTGCAGCGTGCCCCGGCGCCAGCTCCCGCTTTGTCCCCGCGCCCTCCGGGGCGCATCCCGGGGCGGCGGCGCGAGGAGGCCAGGCCGAGAGGCAGCGGCGGCGGGCTCACCTCTCATTGTCCGCGGCGGAGGAGGCGGCGGCAGCGGCAGCGCTCCGGAACCCCGGCAGGATGTGGCGGAAGCTGTGGTTGCGGTCCAGCTTGGGCTGGCTCTTGGTGCGCTTGATGGAGCCCTTGAGGCGGCGGCTGAGGAAGCCCTGCGCGCGGGGCGACAAGAAGGGGAAGGGAAGGCGGGGTTAGCGCGGCGACGGCGCCGGGCCCGGGACCCACGCGGGACCCGCGCCCCGGCTCGGGCGGCCGCGCGGCCGAGGGCGGGCGCGGGCTCGGGCTCGGCCCCAGCAGCTCGCGGCCCGCGCCGCCCGCCAGCCCGCCGACCGAGCGCCGACGGCTCGGCCCGCGCTGCGCGGCCCAGCCCACCCCGCGCCTCCCGCCCGGCCCAACCTAGCCCGGCCCAGCCCAGCCCAGCCCGCCACGTCGCCCCCGCCCCCTAAGCCGCTGTTGCCATGGCGACGCAGAGCCGAGCCGCGCCGGCCGAGGCCGAGGAAGCCCGAGCCCCCCGGGCGCGGGAGCCGGCCCCAGCACGAAGGGGTGGGGCAGCGGAGGGGCGGGAACCCCCGGGGTCTTGGGCGGCCGCAGCCCCCTCACCTCTTTCAGTAAGGAGGTCACACGCCCCCCAACCACCTTGAGAAATCCACGCCCCCCACGCCGTTCCTGATTGACAAAGCACCTTCCTCCACCCTCGAGGTCGGTGTTCTCAGCGCCAGTGGTAGAGGTCGGGGAAACTAAGGCTCCGAGAGCAGGCGTGTGGTCCTCGAGGGGTCGGCCGGCTACGCTTGCCACCTGGACTCCTAACCTGGGTGCCTTTCCTTCCGCAGACGACCATCACTGGCCCTCAGGGTGGAACCCTTTGCCTGGAGCCAGAGTATACCAACAGGAACCACCACCTTGGGCTCAGGGTTCCTGATGCCTAGCTCAGGGAGGGTCCGAGGGGCTGAGGGTTTGCTGAGTAGCCCCATTGCCTGCTTCAACATTTGGAGCCAGGTCCCCGGGAAGTCTGGACCTTATCTAGAGGACAGCTGCCTGGCCCCATTCATGACCCACGGTGGGGAGAGTCCTGCTCCTGGCAGGAGTATGGCAGACCTCAGCTGGGGGGAGAGCGTTCGGGCCATTCGTTCATCTACCGGGATTCCCTGGACTCAGGACAGCTTAATCCCAACCCCAGCTCCAAGAGCCCCTGGCCCAATGGCGGAGACAGGCATTCGATACATGCGGGCTGAACAGTGCTTCTTTACAGGGAATGGGGAGATTTGGAGCCTCAAGGGGCCACAGCCTGGGGTGTTCAGAACTTGGAACACACAGGATGCTGGAGGGAGAGGAAAACTGGGGGGTGTGGGAGGTGGGGGGAGTGGAGCAGGGGGATTCCCTGAGGGGGTGGTCAGAGAAGGTTCTGGGATTCACCACCCCAGCCTCAATTCCAGGTGAATGGGATATTATCTTATTTTGAAATTAATATTGTACACGATCCGAACATCACATTTCATTCATCAAGCAATAGGGAGTAGACTTGGGGCCCTCGCTGGTCCAGGGGAAAAGGTGGACATTTGCTATAGATCAGGCCTCTCTGTCCCTCTCTGTGGCCCCAGCACCCTAGACATGACAAAGTTAAATGCTGGCTGTACACATCATCTCGTCCCCACATAAACAGAAAAACATTATCCCTTTCTGCAAAAGAAACCTTGCTCAGAGAGGCAAAATGAGTCTCCCAAGAGCCCTACCTACCTACAGCCAGAGCTTTTCCCATAGGACCCTCTCCTGCCCACCCTCTTCAAGCTTTCCCTTTTCCTTCCTTTCTCCCCTTACTTTTCCCTCCCACTCCATCTCTCACATCCATACGAGACCCATCCTGGTGGCTACCTGTCAGAATTCCTCACATCTTACAAGGCCCAAGTGAAATGTGACCTCATCCGGAAGGCTTCCCAGGCAGTGAGCCCAAGTGCCTCTCGCCTCTGCAGCCCAGCAGCATCCATGAAAGTGCTCTAACTGGCTGCATGCGGCTCACCAAATATCTCTCAGGTGTTAGCTGTAGGAGGGACCCTCTTCCAGAGGGGGACCCATAGGGCACCACCTGATGTAGAGGAACCAAAAATGGTGGCGGATTGAGGAACAGTAGACCCTCTGGGAGACACAACATGAAGGCAGGAACCCCAACCTTTCCACAATCTTCTGCTCTCCAAATCTTGGTCTTTTGCCAGGTATGGGGGTGGGGGGGTGGGGAGATGCACCTGGGTAACATGGATGGGCTCTCCTCTAACAGGTGTTATTGTCAAGCAAGTTCCCCCAACGGGCTTGTAATTTTTGTTTTTTATTTTCTACACTGATGGAAATTTCACCATTTTTACACTCATGTGGCACAAAGAACCAAGAAGCATGTTTCATAATTTAGGTAGCTCATTATGTAGCAATGTTGACAGCTTTATCCTATTTTTGAGTTAAAAAATTTTTTTCTTCTCCCTTCTAGGAGGTTGAGTGAGACACGTGTCACTTCCTCTCCCCATCTCTCCTAAGGTGACACTTAATGCTTCTCTGACAAGCAGCCTCCTCCTGGAAGCCTCCTCTGAATATACTCCCCACATACGCCCAAAGTGACCATGACCTTGGAGGCTCAAACTCTCTATCACATTCACTCATTTACCATTTATCAAAGTCCACTATGTGCTAGACACAGCAACCAAGGTAGTCATGAACACTAGGAGGTAAGCAATATACAGATTAAGAGGCAGAGAGTTCAGCCCTGGCTGGTATGGCTCAGTGGATTGAATGCCAGCCTGCAAAGAAAGGGGTTGCAGGTTCAATTCCCAGTCAGGGCACATGCCCCGGTTGTGGGCCATGTTCCCAGTAGGGGGTGTGCGAGAGGCAACCACACATTGGTATTTCTCTCCCTCTATCTCCCTCCCTTCCCTTCTCTCTAAAAATAAATCAATAGAATCTTAAAAAAAAAGAAAAAAGAAAAAAGGCAGAGAGTTCAGATCATGAGAAGAGTGATTCTTTAGGAGAACAGGGAGGAACCCCATTCACTTCCACACCACCCATGCCCACCCTTGTGTCCCCCGGAGAATCCAGCTCAGGTCCCTGCATATGGCCAGCTTAACAAATGTTCATTGTCCCTGAAAGCCACAGCTGGAAGGGGACTCAGATCCAAGACTGCGTTATATGGGGGAATGAGGCCTCAAGGTCCCACAGCAAGGCTAGTCCAAGATCCTGGACTCCAGTTCCCTGCTCCACCCAGCCTCGCAGCTTCCTTACTGACCGATTCATGGGGTGGAGGGCCAAGGGTGGCCCTTTTTCCAGTCCTGGACAGAGGGGGATGCTCCTTTTCTCCTATCCTTTCACGGGCAGGTCCCAAGACATGATTTCTGGAGGCGGGTGCAGCTCTAGAAGAGAGACTATCTGATCTTCAGGTCTGAAAATAGTGTTCTAGACCCAAGTCAAACTTTTGTGAAGGGACGTGGTCAAATCATGTCCCTTCTTTAAGTAAAATGGGTTCTAGAACTGCAGCACTGCCTGCTGAGAGCTGGGAGCTGGAGGCAGGCAAATAGGCCTCAACTCTGTCTCCACAGACTCCCTGGCTGGGGAATGGTGGGCAAGCCCCTCACTTCTCTGAGAAATGGGTAGGGGCTGCAGTGAGGATTAAATAGGACAGATAAGGCTCTGGACCTTGTTTCCATAGCCCTGGGGCCTGACTTTATCCCACCGTCTCCGAGGCCGATCCTACGTAAGCCGGCCCTGCTGATCACACCCCCTGGGCCAGCGCAAGTCCTCTCGCACCACTGTGCTCAAACCTTAACATCCACTGGGGGCAAATTACTAGTCCTTTCTGAGCCTCTGTGTCCCTATCTATAAAATGGCTGGTGATGACATCTATAGGGTTGTGAGATGGATTAAATGAGATAAGAGATCATCCGTAAAATGGTAACTACTAAGCAACTAAACACAGTTGTTGCCAGCTTTACTATTATTACTCATGTTGCCTCTAGCACAACCACTGGTTTCTGCTCCGAGGAGGTGTGTGGCTGCCATAGGTGCAAGCCTGTCTGGGCACCCCTGGGAGCTGGGCGGTGGCCTGGCATCCTGGTGTCGAGCCTAGCCAATGGGTGAGTCTGCTTGCAAAACGATGCTGGAGCCACAGGCTATCATCTGGTGTGGTAGTTTTGAACTCTTTTAAACAAACACTTTTTTTAAAGCAACCTCACAGAGATTCCGGAGGCAAAAAGTGCTGGCGTGGGCTGCTCAGGGGGAGGGCTCGGTGTTCATTCACTAGAGCAAGGACTGATGTCCCCAGCTCAGCAACCAGCCTGCACAGTCCGAAAGGGCGGAGCCTGTTCCCTCCCCAGATGGGGCACCCTGCCTCCACTAACACAGCCGTGTCCCATGTGCTTCTCAGACAGCTGTGTCACTGCACTTAGGTCAACTAAGGCCCCAGAGGCTTTTGCACGAGGCTGCTGCCTGGTGCCCCGCTCCCCAGGCCCACTCCCAGCGGTTCAGCGCTGACAGCCGTGTAGCCTCTGCCCCCTGTCTGTGACAGCCTGCTTCCCCTTTGGAAATTCTCTCACCCAGGGGATCCGCAGGACCCCTGGGCTTCCATCCATGTCATTGATAAAGTGCAGGGCAGCCCCGAGTGGAGGACAGAAGCCTGTGGGGTCTCCAGATGGAAGGACCCCAGTGCTCAGCAGCTCCCCCACCCCTGTTCCAGCTACCACGCCACTGTCCTGGCATCGGGCCCGCAGCCCTGCTCCTTCTCCAGGATGTCCAGAGACTTTCTCAAGGGCCTTTCAGAACTCCAGACACAGACTTCTTCACTCATCTGTTTCAGTCAATTTCAAGTGATGATGATGGTGATGATGATGATGATGATGATAAATTACCAGTTACTGCGCTCCTGCTCTGCCATGTAGCCCTGCCCCTGACGCTCACTGCACATGCTGCAAGGAGGGCCCAGTGCCTCTCACTGGGACTCCTGGGGAAGCTGTAAAAGGAGACTCAGAGAAGTTAAGCCACTTGCCAAGTGGCAGAGCTGACAGGCGGTAGAGCTGAGAGTATAACCAGCGGCGTTGTAGCCCCCCCACACACACACACATGCACACAGGCATATACACACTTGCACTGTGTGCACACACACAAGTCAAAGGCCAGAAGGAGA